TGTGAAGTAAACTACTGTCTGAAAGCTGGCTCCTGTTCCCTTTAAACTCATGCTGAAGGATGGAGGCAAAGAGCCAGAAGAGCCAGCAAGTGAAATCAAGGCTGATAAATTTAATTAGCAGGTAAAATGGAGCCAAAGGGATTGAATGGAGGAAAATAAGATATCCAGCAGGTGAAGATTTTAGTGATCATAGGGCTTTTTGAAAGATAACAAACAGCATACAGGATCAAATTTATTTTGTATAGTGGGAACCCCCATAATCCCTTCAGGACTATTTTTTGGCCTAGGAACCATGTTGCTGTAAGACTGCAGTGCATAGGCTCTGTCTAGCATTCAACAGATCTATGTGGACTGTGGGAAACAAAACAACACACACAAGGGAAGGAGCCAGGTGGCTCTGGGAAAGGGAGATGGGAATTTCTTTGGAGGTAACCAACAATTGTTGCCAGACAGGTATTGGCTGAGATAATTCCTGTTCCCAGACACAAAGGTTTATAGAGGCCTACAGGTTGTTTTTTCATCTTTCTATAAAAGATATAAAGAAAAAACATGCCAAAAGACTATCAGTCTTTTTGTTAGGGGTTGCAACTCAGTGTATTTTACTATTAACTTCTTGTGCACTTACTCAGTACTTGACTGTTTATTAGCATGCATTCAAATAATGGTTAATAAGCCTTTAGAAGACTATTTCTGAAGCAAAGGAAAATGTATACTTGATAGATTTTACTGAGGATATAACTCTGGAATAAGACTGTGCTTCATATGGATAACATGCTCAGTGTGCTGCCAGCACTGCCTCTAATGCCTGCCAGCTATTTTTCCTTAAGTCTTACACCCTATTTCCTTGTAGTGGATCAGCTACCACAGTCACATTGCATGAAATCTCCTGAATTACTTGGTTGGCTGCATGAACACGGTTGAAGTCTGCATCATATAGAAAGCCCAACCATATAACCCCAATGATTCTGTCTCGTCTTGAAATGTGTTACAACTTGGTAAAGGAATAACATCAGGCACCAAAGTCAGACATGCTTCCTAAATAAAGAATGGGTTGTCATTTTATGGTTTTAAAACCTAAGGCAGAATAGCTTCCCATAGGGACAGCTAGGCTCTCTCATGTTTCTGCTATGCCTCTTTCCAGGTGTTGCCATAGTTTGGATTTCACACTTTATCCCAAGAATCCAGAGCATAAATATCAATCAATGTAATGAGATTAAGGGAAGAAAGAACAGGCAGCACATGCTCTGTGCCTGTGCTTTCGTATCCAAATCCGTATCTGCCAAACCTGCCTCGATTCAAGTACAACACAAAAGCTGCTTGTGGGGCTCAGAAGTCCTTAGAAGTTCTAAATGAACACAGCTGGTCTGTCTTGCCAAAGAAAAAGGCAGGTGGCTTCTCTTTACTTAAAATACTCTTCCTGAAGACGAAATGCAACAATAGTTGGCAGATTTCAGTACAAGAAAAGGTCCAATGATGCCTAAATAGACAGCAGTAAGTGTTGCTTGTGCAGTAATCATTAATTTGGAAGTTTGTCTGGACTCCAAACCTCTGTCAAGAAGAGATTACAGAAAAGCTCAAAAACCAGGAGGGTTACAAAGCAGATGGGCACAGTGCAAGTAAAGGAAGGGGTGCCAAAGGAAAGGGTTCTGTGGTCCGTGACATGCAGGTCAGTATCTTTGGAAAACAGCAAAAGCAGGAAAGTTTCCAAAGATCAAAGGACAGTCAAATACTTTCTAAATAAAACTGAAGGCAAATCATTCAATTGTCATTCGTGAGTTTGAACAATTCCAAATACTTTCAGTTTGTATCATTAATTAGAAAGGAGAGGGAGACATGGTAGTAGGGAAAAATTAAGGTAATAAAAAAATGTTTGGTACCAAAATGGGATGGAAAGAGACAACACCAGATGTAACTATTCTCTGAAACTGAGCTCTAATGCACAGCCTTCCCCAAAACTGTTGGAAGCAGATGGGCTCCCACAGCTGCACCCCTCTGGCTTCTAGAGAGATGCAAGATTTTCCCTCACCAGAGGTCCCAGGGAAGGGTCCTCATTGTAAGGGATCCCCTGGAGCACACAAAACTGAGAAGAAAGGGTGAGAAAACAGGCTTGAAGGGTAAAAAGGGGAAACTCAATGTTGACAATCCAGAAGCAGCAAAGAGGACAAAGGTGCTCAAACTGAGAGGTGGAGGGCTCAATTTTTGCAGGTTTGTGTGACTGCAGGAAGGAGAAAGATTAACAGGGCTGCAGCAGGTAGAGGGGTTTTGTTAGGGTTGTGTTCAATATGGCACTGCTCTTTGGACAGATGGAAGGCAGCTTATCTGGATGTGAAAGGGAGAAATTCAAGTGACAATCATGCTGTCACACGTTATTTCACTATTCTTAATCTATGCAGGATCTAGGCTATCATGGAAAATTAAAACCTAAATACATTTCCAGTCATAGCTCAGGCTACTTGCCTTTAGTAGAAAAACGACTTAATTTTGTGGTTTGAATTTCATCATCTTTTTCCCTTAAAAGCTTGGAACAGTCAACCATCAGAAGTACTACATTCTTTTTAATTATGGTAATGAAAAACTCTTTTTGCCTCTCAAAAATGGCATGAGATCATTTTATTAATTTTGATAACAGTTTCCTACTGACTTGGAGTCCTTAGTACACAGCTGAGACAACTGACTGCAATCTACTTTGTAAGGGTCATTATTGTATCAATTTGAGGCAATTCAGCTGTTGCTTGAAATGCATCACATACGTGTGCCACTAAATATTTTATTTCAAATTGTCTTTCTTTATATTATCCATCAAATTGTTTTTCTTCTTTAAACACTTAATGTACTTTTAAAATTTAAGATTGTGTATTCAGTTATAAACTAAATGTAATAATTATTCTCAAGTAGAAATATTTTCCATAAAATAATACATTTCAGAAAGAATAAAATCATCTGCCCATAAACTCCCCATGAAATGTGTTCTCAGATTTCCCTGTAATATTAATCTTGCAGAGGGAATTCAGATGTTCTTATACAAAAAATACAAAGCTACAGTGACAACTAAGTGGTGATTTTCTTTAAAATCCTTTCCAGCTAATCTGATTTTAGAAAACTCTGAAGCACATTTCCAATTTTAAATATCTTACTGTATCACAGCCACTCCCAATGTGTCTGTGAATACACAGAAGTAGGATTCATGCAGAAACAAAAGAGAGGGTTCTACACAGTGTTCCCATCTCTGGTACCACACATGGAGGGGACTAGGTTAAGTCACATTATCTCATGTCTCAGTTGCCCCATTAGTAAAGCAACCCATGGTGGTAACAGCCTTTGAGATCTTGGATCAAAAGACTATGTACAAAGAAAAACAACTTGAAAACAGTGATTATTATTACCTTTTTTTTAGATCTTTACTTAAATCAGCAGAATTCTAGGGTCAGACCTAGAATTTGCAGCGAAACACAAAGAGGCTGAGATCTTACCAAATGACTCACATGGGTTCACCATATACTGCCTACAGATAACATTTGGGTGCTCCAGAAGCACAACATTTTTTGGCTTGTTTTACTTTTTTTCTTTATTTTTTGAAAACACCAGTGCCATTTACAGGTATGTAAAAATTAATGCACCATTTATATCTCTAGAGTAAAATTCTGAATTATTCAACATTTTCACATGACTGTATCAAAGTATCTTCTGTTTATGTGAGATACTACAGTTACTGCAGGGTTCTGAATTTTGGATGTAGTATTAAGGAAACCCCTGCTCACACAACAAAGTATGTTATCTATGCCATTACATATATTTAAACTTATACACACATACAAAGAACACTGTCTCCCAGTATGAAGGGAGTCATGTAACTGGTAAGTAAAATTAAACTACTCTAATTTATATAACAAACACTGTAGAACAGACTCTGTACAATATCTAACTATACAGTCATAACAGGAAAGATCAGATATGCCTCACTGATTTCTACCTCTGGCATCCAATCATAGATCAAGACACCTAAACCCCCTGTTTCTAGCCTTTTATGCCACTATAACTCTTCATGACATGTCTTACAATAAATGTTTACAAAGTATAAGACAGCACTCTAAGGCTCTCATTAATTACCAGTAGCCACCTTGAGATTACCTAAAATTTACAAACAATGCCTTCAGGAATATACAATCAAAAACACTTAAAGGTGCTCCACGAACTGAATAAGCACCAGTGGGATACAGCAGGAGGAACAAACTCCAGAGGGGACCTAAGTACCGACACATGACTTTCATGGATCTTGTGCACAAGTTAATTTACATGTCATTCTTTTTGCATGATGTCCTACCAGAATTACAGCACATAATTAACGAGATCAGCTAGAGTCTTTGTTTCTCTGCTGAATAATACCTCAGTTATTAATGTTTTGATGAGTTTCCCATCCTGTGCTTTTGATTTCAAAACAGCAGAACAAAACAGAACTGAAAGAGCATTTCTACAAAGAGGACAAAAAAACCAAACATGTTAACTTTGATATATATATTCTTTCCTTCCTCTTTAAATAAATCTACCGTGATGCTTAAAGATCATATTTGAAATATACTTTTCTTTCATGCACAATGTGTTTTTTCACTCAGTGGCTTAAAGCCAAGTATGTATCTCTTTGTATGCACCTTATGCTTCTATTTGAAGAGACAAACCTCACTAGCAACTGATACAGAACTTCCAAATCCCTGAGTGACTAGTGCCAATAAGGAGTTCCAATACAGGCATCTTACAAAGCTCTGCAAAAGCAGGCAGTTGCTCAGCATAGTTAAGCAGACAGAAATCTATTTCAGTGCATTCTAATAGTATAGCCTTAAGCATAGTTTTAGCTTCAACATGCCAAATTTAAAACCTGGTTGTAACTCTCTGCCTTCCTCACTGGACAGCTGAGCACAATCAAATAGCTCCAGGTGTATCCTACCAGTGTATGTTAACAGAGAGACTTTATCCCACCTTTCTCTCACCATGAAGCCAGCTCTTACCTCGATGGTGTACTGTTCAAAAATCCGAAGCTGAAGGAAAATGTCTAGCTTAATCTTCCTCTCATGGAAGAGCTCTTCCATCTGTACCTGGGCCTCGTCGAGCTGCTGAAGGACAGATTCAATGTGGCTGATGGAGCTGTTGTGTGGAGTCTTATTGTTGGAAACGGCCGAGTCCCTGTAGTAAGGCAGAGAGCACGGTTAAAGCTGAGCTTTATGGCAGGCAAAAGAGCAAGAACTACACATTTGTGATTCTGCATGCTGCTGAGAAGCAAACCAAAGCACAAAGGGCTGAGGGAAGGTGTATGCAACACTCATTTCTTCTGCTCGCTAAAATCCTGCAGCTCCTGAGCTCGGCGCCAAGTTTGAACACGCGGATCATCCTTTCTTGTGTCGTGACACTGTGACCTTACACACATGGGGGGACAGAGGGAGACACACCAGTCCTGATGGCTCTCTTAAGGAGACTGGCTAGCAATCCCCTTTAATCCTGCAGACTGACCTGCTCCAGCCTAAGCTTGCACTGCCTCTGACACACCAAGCTCAGATGTTATTTAGCCACCTGAACCTTTTCTCAGTAATTTTGTGTATTTGCTTTATTACTAACAGACTAATTGAATCAAAAGTATCAGCATTTTAGACTAAGGGGTAGGGATGGCTTGATTTCCTCTGGATTACATCGTATGGAAATAGACACAGAACACAGTGCAAAAAAACTCCACTGAAAGAAAACACCTCTGAAACACTAAGACTCAGACTTGTCCTTCCATTAAGGTAAGTGAAACACGACATGTCTGTGAGAGGTCAGACACTGCTCCATCTACACCTTCCTTATGCAGGAGCAAGGCCTTCAACTGGTGGACTAGGGACAAGGGGAATTTTGCTGTACCTGAAAAAAGTTTTAGCATAAACACAGAAGAGTCCCAATGGTTTCTTTTCAACTTGTTCTTTCATATATATATATATATAGACTCACCTGAAGTCTGGTACATCTTCAGTAATTTTTTTCAGTGGGTATTTTATGCATAAAGTGCCTTTGTAGACATAAAGAGCTGAATTTTTTTCCCTCAAATGTGTCCACAAAGGTCCCCAACTTTAAAAAGAACCAGAAAGGAAATTCTGAAACTGGAATTTAATCTTGGCTTTGGTACTTCAGCTAAAACAATATATAGATGCAATAGCTTATTTCTGTGGATCCCACTCAAAAGTGTGTGATGGCAGCTGCACTGTATTGCATACTTAAACTAAGACAACTGAAAATCCCATCAAATACTTTGTTGGAGAGACCTGTGTCCTGGCAGGGTAACAGGATGAAGTCAGTAAGCAATCAATATTTCCTATCAATCTCCAGTTCTGCCTTGGAGAAGTTGGGAGAGACATTACAAATCCAACAGCACATACTGTACTCTTGGTAGACCAACAAACTCCCACCTGTGCAGCAAACTGGCTGATAGTGTTTGAAGACAAGCAAAAGGTCAGGTAATGCTGCAAGGTCACCGTGTCGTCTAACAGGGACTAAATGTGGCTGGGAGCTGTTCTTCTGACCAGCTAATCTGAGCTGCTGAGTAGAGTTGCCTGCAGAGACTCCCCACTGTGGAAAAGTGCTAGTGTGTCCCCAATTTTTAGTGTGTTTTTGTTTGTTTGTTGCTTGTTTTTTCCCTTTTCTAAGTTGAATTTTCTCTCCATAAACATCTAGCAAAGCATTTGTAATTTTCCACAGAACTTGACTGAAATGCTTGTGCTTTGTTCTTTGCAAATTATCATCACATAGGGTCAGATCAAAACAACTTACAACCAACTTAAATGTTAATTGAACACTGTCAGAGAGCAGAATCGGGGAAAAAAAATAAAACATTTTACAAATGCCTCAAATTAAAACGAGGCACTGACACACGGAGTCCTTTTAGGTGAGTTTAAAACACACCTTTGAGGTTCTAAGGCAACAAAACACATGCTATTCTGCTTTCATTATAGGTCTTGAAGGAACAGAACAGGCATTTGCCTGAACATCTGAAGCCTGAGAAGAAAATGAAAAATACAGATGACCATTAACTGCATAGTAGTTTGCTCTTTTGATGTGTTTCACTCCTTTTTCCTCAAATACTTTCTGTCTGATACGCTGAACTCAGTATAATGCTCCAGCATTACTCTGAAGCAAATACTACCAACTTCCCTTGATACAGGGGAATGTGACACCAATATTACTCTCTCCAGGTGATATGGTTGCTGCCCCATTCTGTCAATCTCATTGGTGACCACAAGGTCTCTCCCAGCCTCCACATCTGAGCTGTACAAAAGAACAATGAAGGAAGACGAGGTGAGATTTGGAAACTACAGCTTAATCTGAGGCCACATTCAGTCAAGCTCTGTTTCCTTCAGTCAGCACCTGTCTTCAATAAAGAAACATGAAATATGTCTTCATTCAAATGTAATATTATTACTATCCATATATTAATTAAATTACTCAATGAATTATTCAAGACTAGTGTTGAATAATCTCTCATGGGATCTAAAGACACACATTCTTTAGAAATTCTTTTTCATTAAAAATTTCATTCTTCAAATCAAGCCACAATTTCAGTGGCTGATGCAATAAAAAAAAATAATTAAGTGTATTACTTTTTCACAGTCTTCTCAGATAAGGCCTTGACAATCCCTGTATAGTCTGGTTTAAGAAAGATCTCCTGAGATTAGATGCTTCTGCCACAAGATTTCTTGCTTTGTCTGTCAATGAGAAATTCTGGGAAAGAATTCATAAAAGATCCTTACTAGTCTCTGAAAGGTTATGAATTAGGGAAAATACTGAAAAAAAACCAAACCAAAATAAATTTTGGGAAACATAAAATTGGACTTAGTGCACTGCTGTTGAGTTTGTTCAGTATGAATGCTGTGCTCCTGAAATCACTTTCAGAGCTTTGACTGCGAGAAAGCTTAATGACACTTAACCACCATCAAAAAAAAGCTCATATGCTGAACTGCTGTAAAGAAAGCAAGCTATATAACTCTTCACTGGTTTTTTTTTCCCCCCCTAACATTACTGGTCTTTCACATCTCACTGGAGCAAGTCATTGTGTTTTGCCTTTCACAGATGTGCAAAAATATCATCCCCAGCAGCACTTCCAGAATTGCAGTTCAAGAGATTTGCTTTGTGTTGACTGCTGAGGCTGGTGATCACCTCAGGAACATACTGAAAAGGAAGAGTGAAACAGTGTTTCTGATGCTAACCATTAGATGTACAGCACTGCAAGCCAGGCCTGTGCTGTTCCTGATAGGTGTGGTCGCCAGATTCAGAGTCACTTGAGGCCCTGAAGACTTTCTGTGAAGGTCTGGGCATTGTATTGATGCAGTTCATGCAGTGGAGCTTTTCCTAAGCTATCTGAAGGAGATACAGAGTGCTATTAAAAAAAGAACAATCTCTAAGCCAGTATGTATGCCCTCAGAGATAAGGACAAGAAACTTAAACTTTTTCAGGGCCCTACTGATTTATTGGTTTTAACCTGTGCTATGACATGCTCGAGAAGAGCAGTGCCTTTCATTTGCTTCATTGTTGTAGCATTTGCAATTTTCAGCAAATCTTCACAGCACGAACATGGTGATCCACACTGTGAAAGGCAAAGCTCTTTTAAGGTTGCAGCAATTCCAGTTTTTCCTCCTTTCCTTTCTCTGTGTTCTTCACTTTTGCTGGCAGCCACAAAAGATGTTAGAGTGGGCACAACACAGGGATGGTTTCACTTTTTTCTTATGCGCGTCTGCTTCACTTTTTGAAAGAGTCCAGGATCACAGTTAGAGGCTTTGCAGTTAGTCCAAGTGCTCAAAACCCACACTTGAATCAGAGATCATCTCAACAGTTCAGTTCTGCAAACCTTTGCGTGTGTTCAGGGCTGCTGCCCTGCTCTCTGTGTCTAGTCTTCACTTAACCAGAAGCAGGGGATCACTTTGCACAAACATTCCTGTTCCACCAGAACAGCAGCCAGGCCCCAACAATGCTCTATCTGCTAAATACAGCTGCCACAAAAAGCTGTCTTCGCAATTCACAAATGTTTAGGCACGACACCAATTAAAAAAGTCTCAAACCTGCAGCCACCCTTACTTTTCCAAGGCTTAAAATAGGAATTCACTAAGTTTACATTAAAAAAGCTGAAGTTCCACATGCCATCTGCCAATTCACCTCTTCCCCTGTGCAGGACCTTGCAGCCACCAGGCCAGCCTTTCCCCAGTAACTGCTACTCACAGTGATGCTCTGTTGACTTCTCAGTCCCAAATATTGGCCTGGCCACTCTCCAACCCCACATGCCACTTTCCTACTGACTCAGGTGCAGACAAAAAGCCTTTAGGCCAACCCTATAGCCATCACCAGAACTCCTTCAATAGTCACTTTCTGCAACTCCACAAACCACCCCACACTCCACCTGATGGGCTTATGCAGGGTTCCTTTCAGGCTCTTCTCCATGTGTGTTCACACTGAAACAATGTTATGTCAATAGGTGGGATGAACAACAACAAATCTTTAGTCCAGAATTTCACCATCATTTTTGTGACCTCATAGAAATGCCCTAAACTTTGCAAAAAGTTTATTTGCATAAAGGGAAACTACCATGCAGAACTTTGACTGACATGTTATGGTTGGCCATACATACATTCTTACCTAAAACCTTCTCCTTCTGGCAGCTCACTTACGAACACAGCATGTTTCCCTCCTACTTATCAGCAAAGATGAATGGATGGATGGACCCTAGCTATGTCTTTCCTGAACAACTCTGATCTTGGCAAGCATTACAATACCTTGGGTCCCTTGCTCTCCTCCTGCCAGCTACATACATCAAGAGTAAGAATTTACACAGGCTTTTCTGTGTGGCTGCCTAGGGCTGAATGACAATCAAAACCTAGAGAAGCCTCTTCAATTTTTTATTTTTTTTTTCCTGACCCAGTGGAGAAGACTCTGCATTCAGGATGTCAGGGAAAAGCACAGGGGAAAGCTCAGCATGTGGCTGAAGCCTCAAGAACCCCAGGAGGGATCTTAAGAGCAGAGCTCCACAAGGGTCCCATCTACCCTTCTCTAGAGCACCTTAGGCTTTTCCTTTCATGGCTCATGACTTTCTCAACATTTTCAAGTGAGAACTGAGGGCACCAGATTAGGCAAACTCAGTGTGAGGAGGATGGCAAAACTCTCTGGGACAGTCTCTGGTGAAATGAAGACAACTTCACAGACTTGCATATTATATATGTATACAGAACATACACACTATGTACATGTAAATAAGGGCAATCTGTAATAATATAAAGATCTAAAGAGTAAATGATCTATTTGACTTGGTTTTGAGCACAGTGGCATCACTAAGAGGTAGGAAAACTCCTCTGCTGTCAACAAAGTCAAAGCCACAGAAAACCATTGTAAATAAGACCAAATGAGAGACTTCACATCTACAAATTTTGTGTAAGCTTGCTCTACAAACATTCATCCTGCTGCACCTACAGACTAAGAAGGCAAAACACCCCTAACTTTTTGAAGCCAGTTTCCTAACATATTTTAAACCTGGTAAAAGGAACCGTTTTAATTCATCATGTAAGTAGAACTGGCAGTATAAGATGCTCTTTGACAGCATGAATAAACTCCACAAGGACAAAGATAAATGGAACGGTGTTGCATGCAAAACAAAAGAGTGAAGACTGTTTGACACATGTACATTTTATTAAGAGCAATATATTTCTCCTACATCAGGACTAACCATATAAATCACAAGGCCTTAGCTCACAACCATTTAATAATCTTCTATAAATACCAACTAAAAATATTCACCTGAACCACATTTGTTTCAATTCACTTCACAGTGTTTATAAATAATCTTTCTGTCAAACAGGAATCCATGCTGATCCACAGACCACTCTAATCAGTCCACACAAATCACTCCTTGCAATTTCAATAAAACACTCAAAGAATTTGAAGAATCATAAATAAGCACAGAATTAATACACTCTCCCAATTAACCCTAACTTACAGATCCCTATTTATGCACACCTAAATCACAGCATACATTTCTCAACACCTGTCCTCCAGGTGGACGTTTACCTGAGCTGTTGGATTAGATCCTCCCCTTCTTTGATAACATTGAGGGTAGCATCCAAGGTGGCTGTTTGTTGCTGCTGAAACTGCTTGATAAGCTCCTGAACCGCATCCACAGAGTCAGCACAGACATCCTCTAAGAGCTCCTTCTGCAGATCTTCCATCCATGTCCACAGCTGGGAAGGAGGGGAGGGAAATATAAATCAGAGAAGGATTGAGATTTAACCCTTCTGCTCTCTAATTCCAGATCAGTAAGTATTAACCAGGGCTGCATGTTTCACATGAAATCTGACTTAAAGTTTCTAAAAACCAAAAGATACATTGGTTACTGCTTCAGGTTGATGCAATTCCATTTTTAGCAACAAAGTAAAATTCAAAATCAGGTATTTTTTTTCCAAAATTAATTTGCATTTCGTTTTTTTTGGTGTGACAATAACTAATGTATTATTCTGATTAACTCTCTACACAAGTAACAAATTACAATGCCCTACAGCTGTGACAACCTAACCCTTTCAGGATCTGTGTGCTATCAGCTGCTATTAATTTCATGTGCAGCTGAAGCCTGTTGCAGAACAGACCTCAGACTTTGGTATGTGTGTATGGTGCTACCCAAAATCTAGCTGTGCCTGCTCAGCTATGCCTTCCCAGGCAGAAGTTTTTGTGGAGAGTCTGGGGTTTGTTTGGGGTTGCTCTGGGAATTTTTTTGTGGGTTTCTGCCACTTACCCCTCTCTTCAAAATGCACCTCAGACTCTCCTTTTTTAACTTTGGGAAAATCCAAACATAGGATAGAGCAATGTCACCAATCAGTGCCATGCAGATCCATTAATTTTAAGTAGCCTTGACTAACAATTTTGAAATAACAACAACAAATCATTTAAGTAAGTGCTCAGATGAGAATTTCCAGCCAGCTGTTCATCAGAGATCTGGACTGAGATCTCTGCAAGCTCCAGCAGCCTCCTGTTGGCTGTAAAGGCTTAAAGTGAATGGAGGTTTCCCCTTTAAGCTTGCTTGGAAAAGGGAGTGTAAAATTGCACCAACAGAGCTGGCAGTCTCCCAGCAAATCCTAATGACTCCACCAGAGAGACTATTTTCTGTGCCATGCCTGCCCCATTAACCCACATTCTGCTGGTACAGTTTGCAAGGTAGCAGAGAAGTGCAGGAGCAGGAAACATCCCATTTCATTACTGCACTGTGAAATGCTAAGGAAGTGGTGCTGGGGGCAGCAGGGTTGCACTTGTGCCTCCCATTCCAGGGAGCTGCAAAGCAGCTTGTGTCAAAGGGAGCTGGAGGTACACAAGAAGCAGATGAAAGGCATTGTGTAGGGGTGGCAAAAGACCTGTTAATAATGTTTTTGTTCAGAACAAGGAGCACTGGGTCTCCATCCTACAAGATTTCTTTAGAGATTGAGAATTCAGTGTGTCCATCTAAAAGAGTAGGAAAGGGTGTTTTAAGTGCCAGATGGCAAAGGCTTCTCACAATCCAAACCAAAGGCCAGTCATCAAATGTTACACCACAGGCTTGCTACTGACTTCAAGGATATCACCCTGACCTAGACCAAAGTAATCAAAATCAGACCCTGTCCAATCATTGCTCATGACAGCAGAGGGAGAGCTCAGCTCCCTGTGCTCTGGCCTCACCTCTGCTGCCAATTCCTTGCATGACAGACTATAAAACACATACAAAAACAAGTTTTAAAACATATGCATCATTTAAAGGCTTTTCAGTTAGGGTGAGCTTTGAATATTTTGGGTAAATGTCTCTGTTTGTTCATAAATAGCATAATCATAATGGCCTATCTGGCCCTGGCCAAAAACTGAACATCTTTCCTCAGTTTATTTACATATTTTCACATTCTCAGGAGAAAGGCATGATATAAAATGGCAAATATTAACAATAGAAACAAATATAATTAAGTAGTCAGGCTTATGAACTAAATAAAATTATGAAAACATATTTAAAGAACCAAATATTTTAATATATGGCCTGAGGTCTAGGTGCTGAACTTAGGAAAGCCACCAGAAAGGAATCATAGAACCATTCAGGTTGGAAAAGCCCCTTGGGATCACCGAGTCCAACCATCATCCCTACTCTACAAAGTTCTCCCCTAAACCATCTCCACCAACACCACATCCAAATGAGACTTAAACACATCCAGGGATGGTGACTCAACCACCTCCCTGGGCATCCTATTCCAGTGTCTGACCACTTTGTGTGAAAAAAAACAGATGCTGAGTGCTGAGACCAGCACCAACCTCTCTACAGTGACCATTCAGGTAGTTGTAGAGACTGATGAGCTCTCCTCAACCTCCTCAAACGAAACATTCCCAGCTCCTTCAAGTGTTCTTCACAAGATTGATTCTCCAGGCCCTTCACCAGGGCCCTCCTCATTGCCCTCCTCTGCACTTCAACATCTCTCTTGAACTGAGGTGCCCAAAACTGGACACAATACTCCAGGTGTGGCCTCACCAGTGCTGAGGACAGGGGGATAATCACCTCTCTATTTCTGCTGGTCACACTGGTTCTAATACTTGCCAGGATGCCATTGGCTTTCTTGGCCACCTGGGCACACTGCTGGCTCATATTCAGCTGCTGGCACTAATGGGGAACACATTAATGCTTTTATATATAAGTAACAAATATAAAATTGGATTTGATCTGGTCCCTGCACCCACTAAAACAGTTGGGACAGATGGAGTATAACAGGCAAGGACCAGGTTTCTCAGGAATATTATTTATTCAATTTATTTGATCTTTAAGTAATAGAGCACTTTGTAAAGATAGAAGAGAAAAATGGCCATGCGTCTAAATCACCCTTCTGCTTTGAGCTAGGAAAGCCAGCAGTTTTTTAATTTATTGCTCTTCTTCATATTTCAGTCATGATAACAAAAAACACTCAGGGAACTTCCTTTACAAAAAAGAAAGTGAAATTAAGATCTTGTTTCATTGATAGGAATTGGCTGTTTTCTTGAAATTTTCTTATTAGAAAGGGCAGAGGAAAAAGTTTCAGTCAGTCTCCCTCTGACTGGGACTTTAGAGGAAAACTTTGTTTTCAAAAGTGTCTCCAGAACCCAACTTTCAGCAGCAGACAAAATTATTTGCATATTTAAGATCCTAAGTCTCTTTTTCAGCACGCTTCTAAATCAAACCAGTTTCGAAATACTTAAACATAAACTGTACTGTACTTACCCGGAACCAAAACACTCATTAATTTCAGAGACCACTCAAATACATTAACTCATATTAGCTTCAGATTTTTCTACTAATGATCTCTGATTGTAAGGATTTGCATAATAACATCTACCAGAATCTAGGTCATCCTTGACTCAAGAGGTTTTTAATCCTTTAGACTCCATCAATCCCTGAAAAATCCTAATACAAAGAAGCAGTCAATATTAATAAGATTAGGAAGATCTTTCAGGAACAATTTACAATAGGAATCTGAATCAAAAACCTCACAGATTTTGTGCTACAACTAACAGCACCTGAAAGAAATTACTACCAAATCCGACTTGTGAATTCCTTAGCACTGAAAAGATGAACTCCATGCCACTGCCACACCAGAGTCAGAAAAGCTGTTAGTCATAAAAGAGGAACGACACCCTGTTTGTCACAGGTCAGGAAAATCAGTCCCTGGTAGGGCTTGATGTCTAATTCCAATGCAACTATTCAACTGATTAAAAAAAAATTCTAAATATTAAAACCCCAAATCACCTGACATCTTGTGCATTTCCTAATTAATGATCTATTCTAAGCAACTAGCTAGCTTAGACTGAGTGAACCATTTCAATTTATCGTGGAAATACGACATTACACAGGACAAATTTTACCTAATATTTGCAGAAACTTACTTTTTTCTCTAATTCTTAGCGTGAGCAAAATTCGTGAGTATCTGTCCCATTCACACTCATAGTCCAAACTACTGCTAATTTCTCACTTCCTCATGTACAGGGGATGTATGTAGATGCATGCAGACATTTCAAATACTAACACAATATTCCATACCTAGCTGTGGTGACTTTTACAAAGCTTGCCAGTGATGCACACATCCAGAAAAGAACATAATCTCTGCACTGTATTACTTAACATGTACTAAACCAAAGATACAGAATCCTGGAAAACAATGAAGGAATAACACACAAAATAATTCTCTTGCTTCTTTCAAATTGATCTGTGCTTTAGCATGATTAATTGGTTATGGAAATGCTAATGCATTAGTGGTAAAAATTGAATTAAGTCCATCAGAGAGATTTAGCCACAAATGCAAACCCGTGCAAACAACGTCTAAAAATGTTGTAGCTGTCAGGTACACAGAAGGCTAAGGCAATACCTAGCCCTAAAAATCCATGCTCAAGGTCCATAGAGACTCTGGAATCGAAGCTTTACTTATCAAGGCAACCATGGCTTTAAACAAGAAAAACAATTCTCTTCTGATTACTAGACCAGTGGAGAAGCAGAATGACTCCCCTCCTTCTTCTTTTGGGGGAGCATCTGGCACCACTAAAGCATTGTAGCAACTTCTGCATCTTGCTTGGATATAAAACACAGGCAGTTTCCATACATCCAAGAGACAACAGAGCTCTTTATTCCCAGCCATTTCATCTGATGCAACACCCTTCATTTTACTCAAGTACTTAATGAGACCACTTACTGCAGTTTTGAAGGACATCTCTGTCTGTTACCTAGAAATGAATGCTTCTGACTTAGAGCAAGGACCACTTAAAACAAAATCTAAAACCTAAGGAGATTGCTAATAAAATCCTGCCTGTATGTTTGGCATAACTATTAAATACCCAGTGTTTATATGCTGCTATTTGCAAATGCCAGAGATGAGTACCAATCTCCTCAAAACCAATTTAAAAACACAGTAATGAGACCAGGGAAAAGCACAGAACCAGTCAGCTCAATCCACAAGAATTACCGTTGTACAACATTTTTGTTAGTTGTGCAAAACAAGGATGTTAATGGTAACAGGCAACTTTCCAGGGTATATGTTCTACCCCGTTATTATGTCAGATAAGTGTCACGTGTTACAGAGGAGGCCCCAAAAGGATGTTCATGCCAACTCAGTAAAGTGAACATCCATCATAGCAGTGAAGTCTAGAGCAGAAAGCAGAATAATTCAGTGAAATATAAGGACCCTCTTCTCCCATCCAATTTGCACCACTTCCATTCCAT